TATGCACCACATTTTCTTTCAATGAGCAGTAGAGTTGATTCCATATATTTTACTATTGAAAACAGTCGACCAGTACTCAAGCAAATTTGGAACCTAAATTATTCCCGTATTAGGATAACTGCAATAAAAGTTTAAAATTCCTGTCAATGTCATGCCACTTATGCCGAATTGATTTGTGTGATAGTTGCTTTCTCCTTTGCTTCATCCACATAAGAATTTCTTTTATTATACTATCCACTAATTCACTTGTAAAACACAGAGTAAAATAGTCAATAGGTTTTCTTATATTACTTGTTATTTGTGATCCTATAATTTGAGAATGTACAACAAAATTTATTCTTGCTGGAAGATTGTCTTTTTCTGCGGTACCTTCCCATTCTTCACTTGACCATATATTGTCTTCTACTCCTTTGAAACTGCTACCACTTTCATCACTATCACTTTCTATTACATTCACCCATTTTCTTCTCGGTGGGATAATATTACTATTGCTACTATTGTTTTCTTTCACATCAATACTTATTTTTTCTAACTTATCTACATAAAAGTTAAAATCTAACTCATCTTTGCTACTTATAACACTCACTTTTGTCTTTTCATTTTGCCATTGTTCCGCAATCTAAATAAATGGATAAAAATTTCTAATTGTAAATTACAAAATCACAAAATGAAATTTATCAAAAGAATATTAATTTTCCAATTTTAGTTTTCTGACTTAGTGCAGATAGATATATTTGATCTGTGCTGCTTGATACTTCTATATGGTCTGCCTTCAACTTTGAAAGTCTCTTTCTCTTAAGGCTACAGTAACTTGCTTATCTATCTTTTCAAGTTATGCCATAAGATATGAAGGGTATAACCACAACTGCCTTTCTTATACAGACGCTCTTCATCGCTACTTTCTGTTATAAAGAAGTGTCGGCACCACTGTGAAACCACTTCACAAATTCTCTACTTGATACCAACTGAATTTTAAAATGTGTATATTCCGTGTCTTTATTTGCTTTTTTGTGCAATTTGAATGGAAAATGTCAAGGAAACATAGTTTTTTGAAAAAACTGAACTTGAGTGAGTTTGTCTTGAATAATCACCAGCAATCTCTTTATATCCCCTCGGAAGGGATATCTGAGTGAAAAGGGCTAAACATGTAAGAATAAATCCACACTTTTAAACAAATAATTCTTTTTTTTTGGTATCCCCTGTAAGAGAGAGAGAGAGAGAGAGAGAGAGAAAGAGAAAGAGAAAGAGAAAGATACTCTGAAGAAAGGGCAGGAGGAAAGTGAGTGGCAGGAAAAGGAAGGAGGGGGATGGCCTGAGGAGAAGCTCTCTGGGTCAGAGGAAGATTCCTGAGCAGCTCTCAGGTAGGAAAAGCCAGGCACCAAAGCCCTGATTCATTTTTAAATGTTAAAGCAGTCTTGCATTTCAAGAATGAACCAAACTTGGTTGCTGTATTTTACCTTATTTTTAAAAATTAGGGGCAAGGGGAAAGAACAGAATAAAAATTAATGTTTGGATTCAGTTTGCTCATATTTTGGTAGGGATTTTTGCACTTGCAGTCATGAATAAAATTGGCTTGTTTTCCCTTCTTGTAAAGTCCTTGCTAGGTTTTGGCATCAAATTAATGCTCATAAATTAGTTGAAGAGTTTGTATAAGATTGTTTTAGTTTCTGGTGGAATTCAGTAAGTCTTCTAGGCTATGTATTTTATTTGTGAAAGGGCTTTTTAGACAGATTCAAGTATAAGACTTGTAATAAGTAGAAGACTATTTAGATTTTCTAGTTCTTTTTTCCTTTTCTATTTAACATTTTTTGAAGTATAACTTTCAGAGAAGAGCAGTATCAAATGGTTTGATTAATTTTCACAAACTTACACATACCTGTGTATGTAGTACTTAGATCAAGATATAGAGTTATTACTAGTACCCTAGAATCTCAGTGTGTTCACAGTAGTCACCAACTCATCCTTAAAAGGTAAGCTCCATTTGACTGTTACAAACAGTGATTAAATTTGGAGTCACTGAATATATATATTTTTAGCTCTGAGTTTTTTTTTTTTTTTAACTCAAATTATGTTTGTGAGATTCTCTCCATAGTTTTTTTTTTTTTTTTTTTTGAGTTGGAGTCTCACTCTGTCGCCCAGACTGGAGTGCAGTGGCCGCTCCCTGCCACTGCATCCTCGACCTGCTGGGCTCTGGTGATCCTTCTGCTCAGTCTTCCAAGTAGCTGGAACTACAGGTGCGCGCTACCACGCCTGGCTAATTTTTTGATTTATTGTAGACATTAGGTCTCGCCAAGTTGCCCGGGCAGGTCTCGAACCCGCGGGCTCAGGAAATCCACTCACCTCAGCCTTCCAAAGCATGGGATTACAGGCTGAGCCACCAAGCCCGGCTCTCTCCATACTTTTATGTGCAGTTGGAGATTGCTCACTCCCTCTATTGCAGGATGTTTCATAGTGAATATGTCATAATTTACTTCTGTAGTCTATTACTGATGATTAGTTTCTTCTATTTTTTGGCTATTTGAACAGTACTTCTGTCAGCAATCTAGTACATACCTTTGGTAAACACATGTAAGCCTTTCTGTTGAGTATGTATCTGAGAGTAAGACTTCTGGGTCACAAGTTATGTGTATGTTCGGCTTTAGGAGATACTATAAGCTATTTACCAATGTGGGTGCATCCACTTATGCACCTAACATTGTTATGAGTTTCAGCTGTTTCACATCCTTGCCAACATTTGGTATTTTCTGCCTTTTTCATTAAATAATCAGATGTGTGGGTAGTAGTACACAACACTGGGATAACTTAGCAACATATCCTATGTTTGACTATTTCTTTTTTTTTTTTTTTTCGTTTTTTTGAGTTAAGAGTCTCACTCTGTCACCCAGGCTAGTGTGCAGGGGCACACTTGTGGCCACCCCAGTGTCGACCTTCTGGGCTCAGGCGATCCTTCCACCTCAGCTTTCCAAGTAGCTGGAACCATAGGTGCACACTACCATGCCCATCTAATTTTTTGATTTGTTGTAGAGATGAGGTCTCGTCAAGTTGCCCAGGCTGTTCTTGAACCCATGAGCTCAGGCAATTCCCTCACCTCGGCCTCCCAAAGTGCTGGAATTACAGGCTTGGGCCACGGTGCCCAGCCTAGAGATCTTCTTTTGTAATGTGTCCAAACCCTTTGCCTACTTTTCTATTGGGTTGCCTCTGTCAATCTTTAAATATCTACTGGATGTGTATTGATATCCCCATTCTCTTCCTCATACTGACCACTGATATTTCAATATCATTATCAATATATTTCTTTATTTTCCTTTCTTGATTGTTCTTAATGGTTTATATATTTTCAAAAAAACACTTTTGTCTTTGTTGATCCTTTTTCCTGTATGTTTTCTATTTCATTAATTCCTGCTTGCCTACCTTTTTGAGTTTGACTGTTATTTTTCTAATTTCTCAAATTCTTAAATTTTAGCATTCCTTCCTAATGTTTAAAGCTGTATATGTTCCTTCAGCAAGGCTATGGCATCCTCCAAGTTTGTCTACTTGGCAATTTTATACTATTTAGTTCAAAACATTAATTTATTGTGATTTCTTCTTTGACTCATTCAGAAATATAAGGCTTAATTTCCAAATACATGTGAGGGTTTTCTAGTTATATTTTTATTATTGGTTTCCAGTTTAATTTCATTATGGTTAGAGATATTTGGTTCCAATCATTTAAAATTTGGTCCAGCATATATGATCAGTTTTGGACCATGTTTCATATGCACTTGAAATCAATGAAAATTTTACAGATGTTGAATGCAGTATTTTACAAATATCAAGTATGTAAAGTTTTGTTCTTTTTTTTTTTTGAGTCAGAGTCTCACTCTGTCACCCAGGCTAGAGTGTGATCTGCTGGGCTCACACAATCCTTCCTCCTCCGCCTTCCAAGTAGCTGGAACTACAGGCATGTACCACCACGCCTAGCTGATTTTTTGATTTACTGTAGAGATGAGGTCTCACCAAGTTGTCCAGGCTGGTCTCAAACCCGCAGGCTCAGGCAATCCTCACCTCAGTCTCCCAAAGTGCTGGGATTACAGGCATAAGCCACCACACCTGGCTTTGTTCTATATTCTTAGCAATTTTTAAATGTTTGTTTTCTTATGAGTGATTATTGATTACTTTCTGACAGATGTGTTAGGTTCCCTTGTGATGATTTCGGAATTATCTTTTTGCCCCTATATGTAGCTGTCATTTTGTGCTTTATATTTTGAGAACGTGTTATTAAAAGCAAACAAATGTGTAAATATATCTTGCTGGTGTAGTGAATCTTTTACTTTTATGAAATATTCCTCTTTATTTCTAGTAAAACTTCTTGCCTTATACTTTGACACAGTAGACAGCAGACACTCTTATTGCTGTCCTGCTCATTATGCCCTTTACAATGTACCTTCTCTAATAAATTTACCTTCCTAAAAAAAAAAGTATACCTTAGCTCATGTTTCTAATCTCTTATTTCCAACCTTTCCACAGCTTAATATTTAGAGTATGTCTAATGAAAGCAATATATTATTGCTTCTTTTATCTTAACCCACTCTGAGAATTTTTGTCTTGCAATTGGAACATTAAGTCTAGCAATAAATAGACTAATATCTATTTATTGAAATATTTGGGTTCACTTATACCATCTTACTATCTATATCTATATCCTTTTTGCCCCACCAAGTTGCCCAGGCGGTCTCAAACCCGTGGGCTCAGGCAATCCTCTCACCTCAGCCTCCCAAAGTGCTGGGATTATAGGCATGAGCCACCACGCCCTGCCTCTACTTTAGTAATATTAATGATGATGATGATAGTTAATATCCCATACTGCTTATTTAATCGTTACAACAAAGTATGATATATATATATACTATTACTGTCTCCATTTTATCGATAAAGGAACTGAGATGTAGAAAGAGTAAATAAATTACCCAACAGCGACTGAATTAGTACTTAGAGGCTATGCCTCAGGCATTTATACTTACATGATATTTTCCATGGATTTAGGTTTAATAAAAATGGAGATTGGATAAAGTTGCGCAATCTGTAATCTCTTTATGGCATTTCCAGACACATCAAGGATACAGTGTTTGCCCTAAAATAGAGGGAATAAAGGAAAAAAAACAAGTGAACCAAGCAAGTATTTTCACTTATATCAAAGGTATGTTTCCTACAGGTACAAAGTCTGGGTTATATATTTAGATCTCTGTTCACTGTAAGCAAACTTGTCATTTCTGTTAGCAAATTTTAGAAGAGAAATGGAATGAAAACAATGATAATGATTATGAATAATTTGTCATTTGCAAATATTATATTTAAAAGCAAATGAAAGTATAGTCCATTCCTAACTTTTACAAACCAGTATACCCTCAAAATGGTGACCAATAAAGGACTCCTATTTTTTATTTTGCCAAAAAAGATCATTAAAAATAAGGACCCTAGCCGGGCTCGGAGGCTCAGCCTGTAATCCCAGCACTTTGGGAGGCTGAGGTGAGTGGATTGCCTGAGCCCGCGGGTTCGAGACCTGCCTGGGCAGCGAGACCTCATCTCTACAATAAATAAAAAATCAGCTGGGCGTGGTAGCACATGCCTGTAATTCCGGCTACTTGGAAGGCTGAGGTGGAAGGATCGCCGGAGCCCAGCAGGTCGAGGCTGCGGTGGCCGGGAGCAGCCACTGCACTCCAGTCTGGGTGACAGAGTGAGACTCCAGCTCAAAATAAAATAAAATAAAATAAAGAACCCAAACTACCATCTTTCTGTAACCATCATTTTTATAAAATGATATACAATCAACAAAAAGTAAAAAATCCTAGGTAAAAGGTAAATCTTTTAAATTAATAAATTTTAAACCCTAAAGCCTATTACTACTCCATCCTATTTCTCATTTTACTGGGGTCTGATAAAAATTTTATTATAAACTGGCATATGGGAACCCTAATTCTAGATTTAAATGACAGTTTTTCTTTTCGTTTTCTTTTTTTGGAACAGGGTCTCACTGTCACTCAGGCTGAAGTGCAGTGGCACAATCATGGCTCACTGCAACCTCAATCTCCTGGGCTCAGGTGATCCTTCTACCTCAACCTCCCAAGTAGCTGTGGCTACAGGCACAAACCACCATGCCCAACTAATTTTTGCATTTATTTTTTTTGTAGAGGTCAGGTCTTGCTATGTTGCCTAGGCTGTTCTCAAACTTCTGGACTCAAGTGATTCTTCCACCTTGGCTGACAAATTGCTGGGATTATAGGAGCAAGCCACTGCATCTGGCTTAAACCTTTTTTTAAAAATTGGGGTCTCACTCTGTCACTCAGGCTTAAGAATAGTGGCACAATCACAGGTCACTGCAGCCTCAAACTCATAGGCTCAAGTGATCCTTCCATCTTGGCCTGCTAAGTGCTGGGACTGTTGGTGGGAGCCATCGTGCTTAACTTCAAATGACAACTTTTCTGACATGCTTAGGTTCACTGACAAAACCATTTAGGTTTTTAATAGTAATGAACATTTCCATGTTAAACAGGCTTGTACTTTTCTTACAATTTGTCACACATATTTTATTGTAACATATTTTATATCATGTCTTCCCTCATAATTCATTTTCTAATCTGAGTCCATATCAATTAATGATAATTTAGTGGGCATAATTAAAATAAAAAATTTAATATTGTAAAACACTCCAAACATACAAAAAAGTAAATACAAACTCATACATCCATTACCTACTTTTGTCAGATGTAAATATTTTACATGACTGATTAAAAATTTAAAAAACTTCACACTGAAATATTTACATTCTATCATGTTTGTTGTATTTTTTCCTTCTATATATGTATGTATATAATGATTTGGGAGTAAACTGAAGACATAATGCTCCTTTATCTCATAGTTCCTAAAAACAATCACATCTCTTACACAATCACAATATAATTCCAGTTGGCCATCTAATGTTCCTTACTGGAAAAGAAAAAAAAATTTCCAGGATCCAATTCAGGACCACACATTGTATTTAGCTTCAATGTCTCCTGAGTCTCTATCAATCTGGCATAGTTTCTTGTCTTTGTCTTTCTTGATCTTGGTATTTTTGAAGAATATAGAACATCTAATTCATAAAATATGCCTCAACCACAGAAATATGTCTGTTTCCTATCAGATGGTACGCTACACATTTTTGGCAGGAATATCATAGGCATATTGTTGTGTTCTTCTCAGTCGATCATTTCAGAGAGGTATATGATATCTATTTGTCCCATTACTGGGTGATGTTAATTTTGATTATTTGTTTAAAGTTTTGTCTGCCAGGTTTTTCTACTATAAAATTAATATCTTTACCTTTGTAAAACTGATAAGCATTTTGGGGGAAGATACTTTAAGACTATGAAATATCTTGTTTCTCATCAAATTTTCACTCATTAACTTTAGCATACACTGATGATTTTTGCCTGAAACAATTATAACTATGGTGGCTTTCAACAGCTTTTCTTCTTTTCCTTTTTTTGAGTTGGAGTCTCACTCTGTTACCCAGGCTGGAGTGCAGTGGTATACTCACGGCCACTGCAGCCTCAACCTACTGGGCTCAGGTGATCCTTCTGTCTCAGTCTTCCAAGTAGCTGGAACTACAGAGGCACGAGCCCCCACACCCAGTTAATTTTTGATTTATTATAGAGATGAGGTCTTGCCAAGTTTCCCAGGTTGGTTTTTAACCTGTGGGCTCAGGCAATTCTCTCACCTCAGCCTCCCAAAGAACTGGGATTATAGGCATGAGCCTCTGAGCCTGGCCTCAAGAGCTTTTCTAATGTCATCAAACATTCTAATGTAAGGCAGCAACTTCTCTCCTTTCTACTTACTTATTAACATACAGATGCTCCTTGATTTATAATAGGACTATGTTCCAATAAATCAATTGTAAACTGAAAATACTCTAAGCTGAAAATACATTTAATAGACCTAGTTTACCAAACATCATAGCTTAGCCTAACCTACCTTAAATATGATGCTCAGAACACTTAGCCTACAGTTGGACAAAATTATGTAACACGAAAACTATTTTATAATTAACTGTTGAATTTTTCATGTAATTTATTATATACTAAAAGTTAAAAACAGAATGTATGGGTACTTGAAGTAGTTTCTTCTGACTATATGGTGTTCTTGCACCAATGTAAAGTTCGACCACCCTAAATTGAGGTCCATCTGTATTTGTTTATATCATTATGAACCCTTGAATTCTTATTTTATTCTGTGCTATAATCTGTATTATTTAGATATTCTTTTTTTTTTTTTTGGAGTTGGAGTCTCACTCTGTCACCCAGACTGGAGTGCGGGGGCCACTCCCGGCCACAGCAGCCTCGACCTGCTGGGCTCCAGCGATCCTTCTGCCTCAGCCTTCCATGTAGCTGGAACTACAGGCGTGCGCTACCACACCCGGTTAGTTTTTGATTTATTGTAGAGATGAGGTCTCGCCAAGTTGCCCAGGTGGGTCTTGAACCCACGGGTTCAGGCAATTCACTCACCTCGGCCTCCCAAAGTGCTGGGATTATAGGCTGAGTCACCGAGCCCGGCCTATTTTGATATCCAATCATCCCAGACTTGGTCAGTAGGAGGCCCTACATGTTGGCTCCTGTGTCTTTTCGACATACCCTCATCATTCTTTGAGTACTTATTTTTCTGGCACAGCAAAATGTCTTAGGTTCATCCTGTACTTTTCCAGTCCCAACCCTGGAACCAGCCATTTCTCCAAGGAGTTCTGGATCTTTTTAAATAAAGAATTATGTTTAGAAGCCAAGATCTGGGTACTAGATATTGTCACTGCTTACTGAGGTGTAATTTTTGGCCTTTTTGGTGGATAGAACAAATAAACATGTAAATACATATCTATTTTTATATCTATCTATATTAAAACTGATGGGTTCATATTCACAGCTCTAATTACCTAATATCTTCAATCCAATACAATAATCCTCTCCCCTTTTCTGACTGTGAAAGAAAATCTGGCGTCTACTGTTGAACATTTAGCCCGTACCACTGTGAAAAACAAACCTACTAATTAGAGTTGAATTTTGCTTACAGATCTTTCTGTCATTAGCCTGGGTTCAAAGATTACTAGGAGTAAGACTTCTCCCCCGCTTGTCTCTTCAAGGTAGTTAAGTATTCATCTGAAATAGTTAGGTTCATGTAGTTTCTCTTTGTGTATCATTTCGCTTTTTCTCCCTTTTCTTGTTAATCTTATTTTTGACTTTTTGAATATGTAAAATTCAGTTAACATAGTTCTAAAAGATAAACATTACATAGTTCCCTCTATCTTCATGAGTTCTTTATATACTGAGAATATCAGGTTTTTTCTTGCAAATTTTGTGCCAGTTGTCTTTTGACATTGTTATAGTGTTTTCCAGTAGTTTTTGGAAAAAAAAAGTTTTATGGCCATAAAAAAGCCTTTTCTTATTTTTAAGTGGTCAAATTTATTGATATTTTTTCTCAGTGCGTGTAAATTTTGATTCATGGTTTAAAAAAAACCCCTTTCCTATACTCTGGTTATATTTTCTTCTGTCAATTGCATTAGAATTAATTTTAGTATATGGTGTGTGAAAGTATAGATTTATGTTTTTCCAATTATCCCAATACCATTTATTAAGAGGTCCATTATTAAAAGCCCCACAGACTTTATTATACACTGTATTTCTATACACATAGGTCTTTACTGGACTGTCTTTTCCATTCTCTTGGTCTGTGTGAATATTCATGTGCCAGTACCACAGTTTTAATTAAGAAGACTTTCTAGTACACTTTAATATCTGGTAGGTCTAGAAACCCTTGTATCTTTTCTTTTCGTGTTGTCCTGGCTTCTCATATGAACTTCAGTTTGAGTTGTCTACTCTGTAAATTATAAAGTGAGTATTTTTATTGCAATTGTTTACTTACAAATTAACTTAGGCAGAACTGATAGTTTTGTACTACAGAATTACCCTAGCTAAGAACAAGGGATGTCTTTCTAATTGTTTAAGCTTAACTCTGTGTTTTTCTGGAGTGTTTTACAGGTTTCCTTATACAAGCCTACATATTTCTTACTCAGTTTACTAAGTATTTTATATTCTATTTATTATATTA